GGTTGGCCTAACCCGAGGGCGCAGGGAATAAGGCAATACTGTCTCATTCCTGATGCGACTGCGCACAGCAGGTGCTCTTTGAGCAGCACCGGGCTCTTTGGTTTTAAGAGTATTTCGACCGTATCGGATAATGCGCCGGCGGTCACGGTCAACCGTTGGGCGATTGGAGTGTGCGGTTTTTGGGGCCGACCTTTTCTAACCCGTCCATCCTCGGAGGAAGGCAGCATCGCTGCTTCTATAAATATGGACATGCTGGTCGCTTGGGGGAAACACCTTACTGCCTTCACACTCCTGTTGCAGAGGACAGTACGACTTTACCCCCAGACCGCCTCGTAGCACGATTATTCGTAGTACGGGGTCTCGCTGCTCCCCTTTGGCCTTCCTGGCATGGTTGCACCTTGTGGAACTAAGTTCCAGTCAGTGTAGCCCGCGGGATCACTGCAGCACTCAAGCCCGACCACCACGTCAAGGTGGCAGCTTTAGGTCGGGATTAAACTAAGTTCATTAAGTAATAGTATATCCATCTGCTTTGAAACGCGTCCGTGCTGTTGGACCAGGTGAGTGACTTACCAGCAATATTGAAAGACGGTTGTGTATCTGCTTTTCTTCCTTTATGTTGGGAAAGAAAGGCGAGTTACAGATTGCTGAGCCCTACGTGTCTACAAAAGTGATATCTGAAACGACTGTCATAAACGATCTCTGGCTTCAATAATACTGCGATGTTTAACTCCGACACGTGAGGTGTAAATTCGACAATTTCAAGGATTAGGACCAGGCATAGGGTGCGTTGATATTATTTTTACATCACTTCAAACACTTGGGGAGCTCCAAATATACAATTTTGTTGAGTGACCATCAGTCCGTGCGGTGCTTGTGCGCAAGTACTCATTGCTGGTGAAATACTGTCAATAATGTTCCCTGATGGAGCTCTACCCTACGTTGTGAATAGGCTTCACTCTGTTCATCTGTCTCATGTAGCTCACTTTGTTTTATTTCATTGGCAGTTTCTCCAGCTTCCATCTGTATCGCTGTGTACATGTGACCGATCATTCCCTTAAGGCTCATTTGCGTCCACTCAGCATTTATTGTGATCTGAAGTTTCATCTGCTGTTTCTGCTCTTACTGTAATTTCCCCTCCCATATCTACGTTATTTTTAGATAATCATGTCACTTGATTCACACATGGCTGGCAGTCACCCGCTGGTGATGCATCGTGACACAATTATAGGCGAATGGAGACCAGTGGTTAAAGTATTAGAGGACCTTTTGGAAAGATATTTTGTGCCTCATCAAACTCATGAGGCATTGGCCTTAAAGTTCCACTTACTTGCCTGTTGTGTGCGGAAAGTAGGTGAATACGCAGAAGAACACGGACTTTTGGCGAGTTTGGCTAACGCAAAGTGCGCTACGAGTGAACAAGCACCGGCAGGGCCCACTGTTTCCCATTTGAGAGGACTAGTCAAGGAGTTTCTAAATGGCACCGATCCGCATGGGTTTGCCGGTGGTCNCGCCACATTTTGCCTTCTTTCCCGCACCATGAGTCAACGCTATGGCAATATGTCGTCAGGCAGATAGCTCAAGTGCAGCCTGGTTACAGTCCGACTGCCTTGTCCATCCTAGAGTATGCTATTAACGGCCAAGCTCCTTTCGCTCTATCTTCCGATGATTTGAGTTCCCAAGCTTGCTCGACCTGTGGTGACCGTGGCAATAATGATTCGGTGATTATCAAGCGGTGTCAGAATTGCAGGGAGGTTGCCTATTGTTCGGTGAATTGCCAGCGCTTGCATTGGTTTACCCACAAGAGGTACTGCTCCACCCTAAAATGTAAGTTCATTCATAATATACGTCCTGTTTGAGCTCTGAAAATGGAGCTTGAGATCTTTTATTACACTTGACGCCTGCATGTATGCATAGTGCCCAACTCGAGATGAACCCGACTTGCGTTTCCAACACCTTACACTAAGCTCCTCGGGTTCTTTGAGGTTCTCTTGACCTCCTTAACCCGATTTACGACCACCTAGCGGCAACCTCACTTTGTCTCACCAACAAGATAATCTAGTGTCAGTTTCTTCATTGGATAAGACCGAACGTATGATGCGTCACCTCGGACTGATGGTTATTAGTTCACTTTTTAGTAACCGTGATCATCAGTAAGACGCGGCATGTAATAGTACAGTGAAGTTTCTAGGTTAGACACCATACACACGAAGGTACTTGTGGGAGCGCGAATTTACCGGAAGGTCCGTGGTTCGAACCCAGACGCTGCATTACGAATTCTCCAGTCTAGGTTGGGGAAACCCGGCAGTATCCCAACATTCGTACTTCATTTCGGGTGACATGGCAGCTAGGCACTGAAAGGGTGTTACAGCTGAGCGCTTATTCTTATTACAGGGTACTTCCACGATCAGCTTACCGTTAAAACCACCTACGATATATGGATGCCTTTCAGACATGAGTAGTCCAATCACACTGATTCATCTCTCTGCAAGGGACACTTTTCTGGCACTGATTAGTTTTGAATCCGTAGCCATCCGTTTTTGCGTTATCCATCGGAACGAGGTCAAGGAATACTGTCACCGATAAACAGAAATTGGGCTAGATGTCTCTTTGTGGTCATCACGTGTACAGATCACGGTACTAATCGAAGGCAAAAGCGTTCATTGCGCAGGGGCAGGTTTTAATGCCATACCATGGTTATTTCCTCGGGGCTTTCCCTGTTGCATCCTGATGATTCGATGCCCAACAGTAATAGATGTAACCAGTTAGCGTTAGTGCATTCACAATAGGATGGTCGAAAAACAGATGTCTGGCGAACCGACAGGCACATTTTCTTGACGGAACGCACTGCCCATAAAGTTGCTGAAAACTCTTCGGCAGCTCGCAAATTCTCGAGGCGACTTCTCGAATATGATACCAACTGAAACACGAGACGGCCCTGTGTAGCATACCCAGTTGAAGAACATCATAAACGAGAGCTTTAGCTAGATTCAGTTGTCTCGCTGTATCTCACCATCATCGACAGCACGACATTAGTGTTCAACACCATGCTCCACTGCCATGTCTCGCTATAACCAGATCATTGTGCAAATGAGTGTATTTCGCGAGCCTCAGGTACTGTTCAGGATAACTTAGAATTGTGCTGCGCATGCTGAATTACCATCTACCGGGGAAAAGTTTTCCCCGTCAAATTCTCGAGACACCTAAATTATGACTTGGAAGGAATTCGGGTTGCTGCGCAATTCACTTTCCATGAATTATGTGCGGCTGGAGACGTTAAGACATGACTGGCCTCATGCCTTGACTGACTGAACATCAAAGTTATAGATATCTCGGGTTTATTCTAGGCTGGCACTGAATCCGTTTCCCATACATAGTTGTACGGTGGTTGGGCACCAGTGTTTTACGCTGGCGTTTTTGACTATGACAACTCAGTAGGTCGTTTGGTGATAGTGAAGTGAAGGCACCTTGAACTTAGATTATGGGGCTTTAGTATAGGTGATTGACAAAGCACGTATGCTTGTGATTATCGGCTGTCAGCTGAAAGAAGCGAATCCCACAAGATCCTGTCCTCTGTGTGGAGATGTGCAAATTCCATGTTAGACTAAGCGTGGTAACACGTGGGTGACCCCCTACAAGAAAATCGCGCCGAATATGAGAACACATCGTTGTAAGACCATTTGCTTCCTAGTTTCTACTACTTGCATAGGAAAGTGCTATCACTCTATTTGAATCATTGCTGTATGTGTACATACTACCAAAGATGAGCAATGACTGCTTACCAGTGCAACTGGTACTTAGGGACACTCTCTTAAGAACCTCAGAAGGGCCAGTCATTGGAATAGTCTACTCCGGTAATTTACTAATGACCAAGTCAATGCTCGCAAGATCGATCTTGTTCATCGGCCTGGTTTCCTGGGACCCAGTTGTCGGAGTGGTTGCTAGGTTCTAAGTACTATTTGATTACTGGAAGATTGTGCCATTGCTCCCCTTCCAATTATCACTAATCATAATGAACCTGTCCTGGATGTGTTGAACAACGGCTGTTCTAACACTTGTACACAATGTTAATCTACTATTGCCGACCCAAAAATAACTGCATATTAGCTTTATGAATTCTTAATGCTATACTAACAACCTTAAACTGTAAACGGCGTTACTCATCATTCCAACCCTGACCGTCTCTTGCAGTACATCACGATGCATGTGAAGAAAGCCAACGCATGGCAGCTTGCAAGGGCACCGTAAAATGAGAAACTAAAGGATCAGGTCATTTCTACACAGAATGTGATAAACTGGTGTCTAAAACCACCCACCGAACAGCGTTTTTTCTCGTTTCGACCACGCATTTGACCTATTTATTTGTCTGTTGGTACCTTCGATTTTAAAACGTCTGATGTATTTTGCCCTAATATAAGATATTCTTGTTGAGTCCACCTCTTTACTTCTCGATGAAGTAGCACGCGCTAGGGCACTAATCCAGCACGGTAAACATCGGTAGGTTTCCCGGACTCGGGAGTCTTCCCAACTGACGTAATCGGAACGTCATTTTAGGTGCTTACAAACTCACTAGTCATTAAGAGCCAGAAGCACGGCCAGATAGTGCCCATTCTGGAATTCCAACAAAAAAGCTACGTTGTACAGCGCGTGTGGTTGCGCTGAGGATCAAACTAGGGCCCCTGGACTGAGACATCCGATAGTGGTGCAGAGCAAAACTCCAAGGAAATTTGATATACTCAAGACACTACTGTAATATACAGCAATGGGTACAAGTCGCATTCGATATATCGTGTTCTCGATTGGCCACGGGCGTTGCATTCCCAGCTAGGCTATATGCAGACTCATCACTAAGCATTGCAGTACGAAGCAGTTTACATATACGGAATACAAGGTTTTTCAACAAGCACTGTGGCTACATAATAACATTCAAAAGTTAAGGATTTCTGGAATATTTTACGCTCAACTCAAGCCCCCGGCATGCATTCGCCCTAACTATCGGCTGTCATTGCCCAGTATATGTTCCAGTCTGGAAACTTGGACATCGGTTGATTTTGGGCTCCCTAAACACAGTCTATAAAAAAGTTCGAGGAAATTTCACACGATTTATGTGAATCGGTTCAGCAAGAGGGATGGCCAACAAAAGTCCTGCTTCATTCATGAAATCAATAGCGTAAAGTTCGGTTAGTGGAGCGGAGATGTGTTTGCGCTTCGAAATCCGGTGAAGAAGAAGGAGAACGTTGCGCACAGTTGACATGGGGCGACTTTTGTGGCCTCCGAAATGTAGCGCTAAGGAGATACAGAAACAATGAGATTTATTTGAAATATAGATCCGTTCAATTGACCTGGAAACTTCAAAGCAATTATTGAAGAGGCAGCTACATACCATGGATGCTGGTTGTTTCTAGACAGCGATCGCTCAGCTGCAAGATTTTGGCGCTGCATGAGCGAAGGGTCTTCCCTCAGATGTCTCTCGGTATGACGGATTTCCTTTAGTCTGGCCTTGATTTCACGTTTACGCAGGGCGACAGCAGGATCCTCAGAAACGCCTGAAGAGTTAACCGAGAAAACGACGACATGAGGAATCACATAATCTGATCTGTTAGCCTAGTCCAAGCCCGCAAAAAATTCGGCTCATTGGCTGGCGAATGTAGTGCATGATGGGGGAAAAATACCAACCAGTGCCTGCCAGTCATTCTAAACTGACAGCGGATATCACGATCATCTTGATTTACCGGTACAGATCTGACGGTAGGTATATTGGCTGCGTCTTTGTAGTATGCAGAGCTTTTGTATTTTAGGGAAGACGGTTGGAATACCTGAGTTAACCACACACTGATAACCTGATCAAATCGCCCTCTACCCTATAATAACCCATGTGATACTTCGTAACATTCGGTCGCCTGCTCTTACGACCCGATGGACAGTATATCCCACGGCTAACGATAGAGAAGCTGAATTTTTGCTTGATCTGTCCCCAAAGAATATAGTGGTCGCTTTGGGACCGAACTGCCCTGGTTTGATTGCATTCGGACTCGTAGAACTCGGCTGTAGGCCCAGTGAACTACTCTCAAAAATAGCACGTAGCCGGAAATATCCTAAGCTCCTACGAAGCATGAAGATAGCCATCGCCAACACTTTCTTGCTCTATTGGAAACGAGCTAAATGGAATAAATAAAATCATTGATCAGCGTTTATCTCTTGTGAGCTTAGCTGTCGCCTTTTGTTTCACCAATCAGCCCAGACGAAGTTTGACGGAATATGCTCATACCGACTTCGAAACCACGTACTGCGACTGGTTTCGGCACCAGCCGATTCTGGTAGGATGTGTGATTTACTCGGAGTAACGGCCAGCAATGAGCACCATAGGCCATATGACTTAATGAAGACTATTCACGGTCAAATGAACAGATATGTGGCGTAAAAAGTTCACGCTTATGAGATTCCAACGTGTCACCTTCCGTTCTAAATTGCTTTTAAATGGGATATCGACGCGTTGAGTTATCGGAAGGCCAGTTAAGCTGAAAAAATGATAGCATCATTCACCTACTGGGAATCGAACTCGATGAGGTATTTGGCGTTGGCGACTTCTGGCCACAGGATGATGAGGAACCTGATGAGTCAATGTCTGAATACACCTGCAGAGGACGAGTTTCCTTGGTGGAGAAGGCGAAACGCTCTTTCGATTGTGCGGTGATCGTCTTTGGAGGTCTGGGTTTGTTCTCTCCCACAGGCAGCTGAAATCAGTAAAAATAGTGAGCACTCACTTCCCTGAATCGTGTATTGAGAATAGTTAACAGATCCGTCGTTCTATCCGTACAACTAAAAGGTTTACAGAATAGCCACCCAGCGGGAATGTTTCGGTGAAATAGAAGGGAGCGAAAGGTTTCATATAAATGGGTGAGTTGAAAGCATCCTATTTCTGTCCACAAACAGAATTGAGTGGGCATGGCAACTTTTATCCGTACAGAACAAGTCACGTCCAGAGGGGAAGTACAAACGCACTTTGTGCCACGCTCAGAAAGCGCATATCGAGAACGACAGGTGCGTTTTGTCAGGGACGTCAGTATAGAAACGCTTACAGACCAACCACTGAATAACTGTTTAGTTAGAGGAAAATCAAACCGATACCTTAACTAGAAGTCTGGCTGTTCTTGGGGCGTATGTCAGCCTTCTGACCAAAAGTATTTACTTTGTGAGAGATATCAGCACAGGTTTCATGATGAAATGGGTGGAAAAGCACCGGTTTATTGGGATTGACACGTTGAAACTTATCATCTAAATAATATTTATCCGCATGTGGTAATTGAGATGAATTCTAACGAACATGAACAGGTAGGGGATTAAACCGTAGTCATTTGTGCCCAGAATATGCGTCACCTGGTTGCCACATAGCGACTGAAGTTCGAGGCAACCTAAGCTATACACTGAAGGCACAGTTGTAACATGTGTGTTCATTTCTGAACTCAAACGGCTTTTTATGACAGTGAATAGGTCGATTCCCTTAACATACCGAAGAGTTTGATATTCGTGAAGACAGCTTTGCAAAGCGGTAGGTATGATGTTCCTCAGGACTGATGCGGTGATGTCGACTGGGGTGCTTCCGAGAATGAGCACAGTCGATGGGACTGTCGAAACGACCATCTGATATCAGTAAAATGAACAACATAGTAGTGCGCGGTTAATCCAGTGCGTTTGTGAAAGGCCGACAAAACCGTATAGACAAACGGCAATAGTGAAAGTAGAATTTAGCTACGCCGGAAATTATCGACTTGATTATTCGTAAACCTCTTAAACCGCACAACTAAACCGTATTTGCGCTCAGCTTACGGGGGACGTTAGCCAAACGGAACAGAATATTTTTAACACGGGCGAGAGAACCACAAACGCCGGGTTGGCTATTGTGGAATGCTTCGACGGCACAATTTAAGGGTCTCCAGGGTGAACCATATAAAAACTCAAAGCACTACTTTTAAGTTTACCGTATAACTGGTAAAAAAGTGGAATGTGCCGACCTACCACAATCCTTTGGAGGTGTCTACACCTCTAAGCACTCACTTAAACTGAATAGAAAGTGACAACAGGAATGCCACTGACATTGATTAAGAGCCACATCTTGCAGCGTTCCCAACCAGGTTCAGTGAGGATCACGCGGTCCCTGTGCTGTCCTCCCTTCTTTGAACGTCTGTCGAGAAACCACTTAGAACATGATAGCTCGTGGGGACAACCAAAAGTTTCTGTCGACGTAAAGGAAGAGGACAGAGATGCTAAGACAGACGCAACGCCTGATGATGCAAACAGAGCCATAAGATCTTTGAGACGCCTTGCACTTAAGAATCTGAAAGATTGATAGAATGAGCTGTTGAACTTAACCTCACTTTCGGGATTTACATTGGCCAGAAGGAGCGGACGAGTTAGCTGAAAATCTGCGACTTTTTTGGTAAACAAATGAGCGTACAAAACGCACATTTTATCAAACGTTAAGCACTGCGTTCACTATGTTTACGAGGGATAGGAACTATAGAGTTCGTTCATGCTTTGTCGTCCACCGTGAACATCAACGGAACAATTGTTGATGTAAAGTTCAAGACCGTAAACACAGTGCTGGGCACAGGGTGACTGTAGATAACTAGTGGGAGAATTATGGTGGGCTCATATAGGCATTTTGAAATAGACGGCATAATTTGACCAGTCGCACTAGTAGCCTAGCGTATTCACGCAGCAGCTTTTGAGCCCGGATCAGCACAGTCTGACCGATCCATATCAAGTTTATTCATCTCCTCAGGCTTTCGATCCAAATTTGGGTATTAAGCATGTAGAATATCAGGTACAATTATGCAACGCAACTTGTCTATGTAGTGTGATTCATTAAAGTGTAACCGCACGCTCCAGGCTTAATTGTTCGGTAGGATGGCAGAATAAGATACTCCTGTAGTGATTGAGCATCTGAACAACCAACAATCGAGCAATAGTATTCAAATCCATTCGCGGCTCGTCATAATTAAGCACATTGTTACGATGGACATGCTAACTATTGTGCGATGTCCGAACATTGCCAGCTTTTGAAAACTGTCTGTAGGCCACTTGGCTTAGTCGATCGACCAAATAGTGGAACCATGAATAACCTTATTTGGGAGAATTTCTCATGGCTCCGAAAATATTTTACGGAATTAGAAATGCCATGAGGGGGTTAAACAACACGGAACTCATTATTCCCTCAGCTTAGTGAGTTCAACATACAAATAACGTAGTTAGTCATTTGTTAAAGGGGAATACTAGTTTTATACTGGGATGCAAGGCCGATACCCGCTTTGAGAGTTGTCAAACGGGACAATTGATACCGTATGCCATTTTCCACAAAGTGGTCTGTGAACCAGCATGAGGGCACATTAACCCGTTTAGACCGGTGATAGAATGTAGCTCTAGAACCAGGGGTGTGGTTTACCGACAGACTACGATTGTAGCTTAGGAAGGAGTAAAAGTATGGGATGCATAGCGTGTGCACCAGATGGACGACTAGCCCGGAATATTTTCCAGATACTCACATCAGACTTATGTAGCTAATTAGGGTGACACGACCATCGTGGTTCGAATTGTCAGCTTCAGTGTCAGGTAGGTGCGGAACAGTATGTTCTAGATGCGGTGCTCGATTTTGGTGGCTTTTTAATGTCGTGTCTTGAGTTCCTATGAACCAGGCCTTGTTTTGCCCATATGACCGTAGATAGAACTGACACTGTGTACCGAGCTTTGCACACGCAAATCCGTTGCCCGTTTGGTAAGCACGATCATTGATGGAAAATAGTTACTTGAGTTAACTCATTCCAGAGGTTGATGCGGCTCTGGAAACGACACGAAACTGAGTTATTGAAAGAGCTTACATTCAGTTCTCAGCCGCCCAAGTTTGATGGGCGCAATATGAGCGTCTAGCGCCAACAGTACTCAATGGAGCGTGTTCAGCAGAAAAATTGGATATCTGAGGAATTGCGGCACACACACTGCGACATGTTAATGTAAGATTTCTGTTGAAGGCCAAAGACCCGGGTCGAGCCAAGCAGTTTGACTACATATGAAACTGTGACATTTCAAGGAGCGACGTACGACAGACTCGACTACACTTTTCGGTCATCATCATCATCGACAGCATGACAGCAGTGTTCAACACCGATGCTTCACTGCCGTACCGCCTGGTCACTCGAGTGACGAATAACCACAAGAGTACTATTAAACCAGATTTGCACGGTGAAATGTTCCGACTAACTCGCGGACTACATTAATGGAAAACAATACGTGAAATCGGACAATTTTGACGTCAAAATCCATCTAGAAGAAGCTGGAATCCTAGAGTTCTACCTATAACGCATAGAATCGTCACATTCCTGAGAAATAACCTTACTAAGCTCGCAGCGGATGGGCAGTCATGACACAAGCAGAAGGCGATCTGATGTAGCGAGAAACTGGGAAACTATACACTGAAGAAGAAAATGCAGGAGCAACTGACTGTGTGACTGAGTCACGTCTTAGTTATGTACATGTATGGAAAACTGTGTATTGTGCTCAAGTGAATTACGACTTTAGTTAGCACCATCCAGTTATCTAACACACTGCTAAAGCTCGGATGAAGTAGCTCACCCTGATGTGAGCCGATTCGCGCACGAAGTCAATATAAGGCACACAGCACATGTAGGCGCGGTGAACTTCAAGGACGCTGTTACTGCCGTGCACTCGAAAACTGACCAGTCGTATCCATCAGCATCCGCCTACTCACCTCGTGGATGGACACCGTGCGCTGGGTCAACCACGAAGCGTTAACAACCAGGCTCGAGTAATCTTTACCCAACTCTTCAAATTGACTTGGTCGTACGCATTGCCGGCCCCTTGGACACTAGTAACAGCGGTCATCTAGTTACAATATCAGCTAGATATGTCATAAACTATGCCTGGACAAACTAATAGCTCTCGGTGATCCCTTCAAACCTGCCTTCCGAGTTTATGCTGGTAACTCGCCCTATTTACGTTCTGCCAGCCATTTAGAAGCGTTGGTTGATGTTGCCAAGCTACAAGCACATGTGAATGCCAAAACTGAAGTTGAGTTTGTTTTAGACATCAGTCTCGGCAACAGCTCTAAAGTGAAACATCCAACGACGGCCTAGTTGTTAATCAAGGCGATTTCTTTCCGCAGTTACGTCAGTCCATTCAGCCAGATGCTGAAAGTCTGGTTCCCAAAATCATGTATCGCGTCTTGAGTAGCCTAAACGATGTAACAAAAACAGTATTTACGACGACTAATGGTTAAAAGCAAGGCTTGGTTGTCACAGTACTTACACCGCCGAGTCGTCGACTGAGCACGCGGACTTGGTACTGATGAATTCGACGGAGAATAGCGATGTTGACTGTCTGCCTTTCTGTCTTCCGCATGTAAGGAACCGTATTTTGACCAGGGTACCAAAGAACCAGGAGAAGGGGAACGAGTTGACGGAGTGCTCGGGTTGTGAAAGGTAGCATGACGGAGTAAATCTTGGTTTATAGAATCGGAAATTAAGTCAGGGACGTATTCTTCATCCGAAGAACCGCGTTCTGAAGGAAATGTGCGATTGGAACGTAAAATTCGGCTGTTGCTTTCAGTGTCGCGACTACGAAACAGAAAAAATTCTTTGAGTTGTGAGGCCACTGGAGAGGTGGATCCAGAAGACAATGGGGAACGTGACCCACACACACGCGACAATCGGCACTTGGCTCTGGAGTCGTTCACTTCATCCTCAGATACATCGTCGAGTTCCAACCGAACACCACGCCAGATCACCTGGGTCGAATAGGATTGACATTCCTGGGAGTTTTCACATTGGCTGGCCAGTCCATGCTGCGCCCCATTGGTCTCGGGTTGGTGCTCAGTCTCAGCTATAGGACTCAGTGAGTTGGAAGACTCTAAACGGACACAATATCGCGTGAAAAATGCTATCTTGACGACATACAAGAAAACTGTTTTGTTCCACCACTAGCTGTATCATTAGTGCCTATCAACAGCTCTGAGACGCAAGTTTAAGGCCCTTTGTGAAAACTGGGGCAGCGAAACAATAAGTAGGAGCAAGAACAGAACCAGTAACACACCAAATGTACTAATCCTTTTAAAGCTTCAGAAGTATCACTTCAACATGTCAACAGTGACTTACAAGCCAGCCACTACGAATGAAACCTCTGTAGTGGCAACTAACGTAGAACACGTAATATCTTGAAGGTGATTTAACAAGTTGAACCGTGGATTCAAACGTACGCGGGTGGATGAGTAACATATTTCAACGGTCTAAACGGTCTTCATTGGGACTAGAAGCGGCAGCCACCCACAATAAACAGGTTTTCGTAAACCAGAGATTGGCAAAATAAAAGCACGCTGACCAACGAAAATTTGCGCAGAAGGCATGCGAAGATGTTCTGATCCTTCATTGGCTAGCTATCGGCAGTAGTATTGCTACTATCCATAAAAGTGGAAAAAAGAGACTCACCAATCTCCATGGCATCATCACATTGGGTTGCATCATCCAAAGTACTTGGAGGGTCAATTAAGCTACTGGCCTCTTCTGCCACTACACTGGATACGAGCTGCGGAAAAATGAAAGAATGTCACGGATAGCTACGACGGACAGAAAAACGAACGGAACAAAGCTATCCTGTAGTTCACTCCCAACAAGTTACTTGAACATCATCTAAGCTTAGACATGCAGTGAATTAAAGACATAAAATTTAAGACACAAGATAAATAAAGATGCTCAACGCGGTTAGCAGAGCCGAAGAAGCGTGAAATTAGGCTTTTCAGATAATCTACTGCGGAAAGCTATGCTATGGACACCACCACTTTAACAATACTATCTACAAAAGTTTATGGCAGCATTCATGAAGCATTTCTAAAGAAATAACGGGATTACATGTTGTTGAAATCATTGTAAGTTTGGATACTGCGGTTCACTACGACAAGGAGTGAAAGCATCTGTTAGGTTGTAATAAAATTGATGAAGACGATACTGTGCGATGCCAGTGTATGTTTGACTTTTGGTCACTTAGATGCAGCCTTTAAGAGCCTATTTTAGGCACTTTCTAACAATTCGGGTATCCGGACCCAGCAGCAACGTAGCTGGTGACGCGAAGACTAATTCTCTATAGCTTTAGGCACAAAAAGTGAGATAAAGCACTAAGGGTCATACCAAGAACTCAACGGACCGATTGGAAGCGGTCGCAACAGAGAAGTCACTGTTATAGAACTAAAGGCAATCCATCCACTTAGTCACCACTGGTATTCAGTTTGCTCTCAAAGTAAGTGAATAAACCTACCAACATACCTGTGAAAGCTTATGGGAAAAAGGTGTCGAAATGGGAGGGGCAGGCGGGCCTGCTGGAGGAACAGCGGACGTAGAACTAACTGCCACCGGCCCGGCAATCAAACCTTGGGGGACAAACGGAGGAATTGTAGGGATATAGACCCCAGGTGGAGGCACGACGTACTGTGGAGGCACAAACGTTCTTGTGCACTGCAAATGGGATACAGTGGGATGAGCGGGAGGTGGAGGAGGGGGTGGCGGTGGTGGTGGTGGTGGAGCTGGCGGGATAGATGGATAGTTGAATGTATACGGTGGCTGAACAACTGCTTGCAATGGTTGTAGATTATCATAAGTAGATAAGGCGGTAGCTCCCCGTGGAACAATGAATTCTGGGTTGGGTGGAGGATGTCTAGGATGGAAGGAAGGAGTGAGCGCAGGTGTTGACGGCAAGTTCGTGGGAGACGGTTGATTCGCGAAATCTTTTGTAGGTGCAGGAAAGGATTTAGGTGTAGGGTCTCGACTGTAATCACCATTGGTATCCACACCAAGGGATTCACAAACCACAGCACGGATCTGATCTTGAAAATCTCTCGGAAGCTTCGTACGAACTGCATTTTTCACTATTCGATCGACACCTGTGGTAAGCATGCTCGTGTTGGATAATTCACGTCTCAGACGTTCACGTAGCTTCAGTTTTTCGGATGCTATAGGTTTGGACTGCTTCTGAAGAAAAGCTGAGACGAAAGAATTCACTCTCTGTTGGAGAAATTTGTAGTCACTGTCTAAGTCGATGTCCTCCAAGCAATGCTTTCGTATCCGGTCAAACAGCCCTTGGCTCTTCAACCGCTCAATTATTTCATATGCAAACCGCATCGATTCACACTGCATTGTACGTTGGATAAACGGATTTAGTAGGTCGAAGCCTCTGAAATGAAGGAAAAGATCATGAAAGTGGAAATCAAAGGGGCCGTTAGTAGAACATTACGTCGCTCACATTCTCGAGTCAAAAAATAATTAAAAACTCAAACAGTTCAGCTGTAGCACCTTTTCGGTGCCTAGCTGCAATGCGAACAGAAAGAGGCACCAACAGTCGATGTCTTGAGGTTGGTTCGAACCACGGACCTTTCCGTCCGTAAGCTGGCGCCTTAATCACTAAGCTACCTCCAAAGACCGACTTCTCTTACGCCGATATCTGCACCGTTGTTTACCTGCGGAATTGCACGAAGTGATTCCACCCGAGTCATCAGATTTTAATGATAATCCCGATTACAACACACCGGTTTATCATTTGGCGTATGGTTTTCCACAGTTTCAATCCATTTTTGCTCATTCCTGAACCAATCACGGACTATAAATTGAGGTTTTGTGTTTCTTTGTGGCTATCCAGACTGTAAATACTTTAATCCAGCGCATTCGTTTATAGTATAAACCAACCAACGAACCACGTTGGAAGTTTACCGCTGAACACTAACCAAGCACAGCAAAACCACCAGTTGATGTTCTTCTCGTTAGCAGCCAGACATTGTTAAGTTTGTTTGATTTCCCAACCATCCTGGATGGGTGGAATGCACTAAAACAAAGCGCATTAAAATAACACAGCGCAGCACGATCAATTTTATCCGGCTTGTACCGAGCTTCGGCACTCTTTTCGCTGCAAAGCCATTGAGAAACTCGAAGGAAGCATGAGGGCTGCAATACTACTGGACTGTACAGGCCTAAACAGGGATATCTGACCTGGTTCCGCGATGTGGCAACAGTGACCTGTACTGGGGATATTTAAGGGAGGGCCATGAGCTCTGGTAGCTAGTGAATGTGCAGGAAATGAAGGATTTTGTCAGCATCATCAGCAACAGCAGTTCTCCAACCGCGTCCTTGCCGTACAGTGGCTCTAGCTGACAGTGCCGGTGAATTGGGAAGGTAGAGAGAGACGTTCAGTCGTAGCACCCTCGCGGTGCCTAGCTGCCATGCCACTCGAAGGAAGCATGAGAGCTGGGATACTGCCAGGTTGCCCAAGCCCAGACAGGGAAAGTTGAGAGGTAGAGGTCTGGTTCGAACCGCGGACCTTCCGGTCAGTAAATTCGTGCTCTAACCACTTGAGCCATCTCACCTCATTGGGAGGCGAAAGCTGATATAATTGACGCGTAAATACAGAGTTGCCAGTTGGCTTTTCATTGCGAGATTCAGGGGGGAGCTATGCGATGAAAGCAATAGCTTGCTTGAACGATCGCCATTCATGGCGCGACTGTGCCGTTTGACAATGTCTCTAAACATTGATGTGACTCCGAGCCTCAAACCGGAGAGACGGCAACGACTATCGCATTTGAGTTTGCTAGTAATCTCTTTCATATCTCGCTGCTAATTCATTGTTTGGCACGGCTCGTTTCCATCCTCGTTCAATATTCGTTACCAGTGTCTCAAAATTAAAGAAACGGGTACAGGAGATTTCATCACATATGTCGGCGGACTCTAGAAAGGACGCAAGCGCCTCCAGCTCGCAATCATGACCGAGGATCAATAAAAGTGTCTTATTTTGTTAGCTGGTCTTCAATTACCATATGATGCAGATGTTCCGACCTGGTTACTGAATCAAATTCAACAGCATACAGAGTTGACGCCTCAGAAACTTACCAAATGAAGCCAGCATATTATACCTCTCGAGGATGATGCTGCAAAGATTGGATATTCCCAATTCTCTCAGTCCGTCATGGTAAGCATGACCTACACAACTAACAATATTCTCATGCCACATCGGCCGTCGCGTGGTGCCATCAGCCGGGTCGCCTTACTTGCTGCATACAGCAGGGCGGGTAAGCGAAAACATGCTACTGCTGACGCCTCCCTTCTTACACTTTCAC